AGTAAGGGGAGGGGGGAAAGGAGTTATGGATGGAGCCTGGGTTGCTGTGTATGAGTCATCATCTAAGAATTGTTTTTTTGTGCCATCTTATGCCTAGTACCAAGACCTGATCTTTTTGTTCTGGAAAGGTATAAAAGGTGGAAGACATCTTTTCTGGTTGTTGCCTTCATCTCTCTACCAGCCACGAAGAGAGATGGGGTCACCCAACTCTATTTTGATCAAAATAAAAGTTGTTTGCTTGCTGAAACCTCAACTCAGGAGTTTCTTTGGCTCTTTTAAATTCCTGAGTAATGCTGGGGCAGTTGTGAGGCTAAGTGGAAAACCTTACAACATTGCTACTATCTATTAAGAAATGAAATGCAGTTAATACATACAGTAATACATACAGAGTACAAAATTCTTTCTGGCTAGTGGCAGGATATCTTGGCTGCTAGGGTTCATAATTTTCTTTATTTTTTGAGGCAGCAGGTAGATGCTGAATGGTATTAAATCTAAAGAAAGACTTACACTTTTTTTAAAAAAAGTTTTCAGCTGAAAAAAAAAGCATAAATCATGTATCTTGATAGTTTGCTTCCAAAGTTTGATAGTATGACTTTTGAAGGCCACAAAACAGAACTGTGGGGATTGCATTGCCTATCCTTTGGTAGATTCTGATTTATTTGTTTGTTTATTTGTTTATTTTTGCATCTGTTTTGTATTTGCTAAAAAAAAATCATAAAATGTAAGAAAAATTAAAGAGCCAAACAAATGGTTCTACTCATATATAATTTGCTTTTGTGCGTAACCCCGGCCTAAGAAAATCCCAGTTCATCAGATTTTAAAAGAGAAGGAAAGGGGTAGGATTTGCCTTTTAGCTGTAAGAGTCTGAAAAGACAGAAGTGCTGGAAATGGATAGGCCTGGCTTGAGATAATGAGACTGTAAGCAAAAACTTCCCCGTTTCAGATTGCAGAGAAATCACACATAAAAATATTTACATTAGGCATAGAATTCCCATTATAGATGTAGGGTCCTGCCCCGCTAGCATCCAAGCATGTAATACATATGCCTTGGCATGCTGGGTTTTCTCTTGGGGGGCATGTAGTTACTTTTATCTTCTTCACAACCCATCCCTGAAACAGCAACAAAAACCTTAGATATTCCAGTGTTAAAGTGATGTTTTCAGCCTTAACCCAGCAGTATTTAACAGCCACTGCAAAGTATATAAAATTTGTTCCTGTTACTTTGGAGGCAGTCAGGTGACCCATTGAACCTGGGATCAACCTGAATCTATTGGTCACTTCAGACTGGGGCTAAGGCTGACCCTTCCTCTCAGATCCATGGTGTACTTCACCAAGGCCATAATAGCATAGTATTTTGGTGAGTGAGAAAATCCACCCCTTTTAAACCAGATTTGCCTGTTGTAACATCTCCTTCTGGAGTTTACAGATCAGCTACAAGTTGCCAGATGGCTGGTTCATAGAACTGGTGAAAATACAAGCCATTGTATTTTCCTTAGAGATCCAGTTCAGTGTAGTGGTTAAGGTGCTGGCCTGGAAACCAGGATACTGTGAGTTCTAGTCCCACCGTAGGCATGAAAGTCAGCTGGGTTATCTTGGGCCAGTCACTTTTATCCCAACTCACTTCACAGAGGAGTTGTTGGGAAAATAGGAGAAGGAAAGAGCATTATGTACTGTATGTTTGCCCTCTTGAGTTGCTTATAAAAATAACAAGCGCAGGATAAAAAACAAATACATTTGCCATTTCCCAGAGCTAACAGGTGCTATGAGAGGTAGCAGACTACAAACTTGGCCCTCTCATTTTACCAAGTACTGCTCAGCAGAGTTGGGAAGATACTGGATTTTGACATGCAGTTTGACTCATGTGGCATAAGCCCTCTTTCAGCACATCTGGGGAAGTCTACAGATAAGCAGACTTGAACAGGTGACAAGTATTTACAGTTGGCTTCAGCAGTAGTATGGTGATAGATGGCTTGTTTCCCCATCGCCTTGTAATGTTCAGAATGTGGGAGTTCCTAATAACTTGTATTTTCATGTCAGTTCTGGCTTCCGTTCTTCAGGTGACAGTGAATTTGGATCAGTACGAATACATCACCTTCTGGGCTCTTGGCCAATGGATAGGACCTCTGCGAGTGATGGCTGCAACTCGAGCCCAGAGGACAGGCTTCTTTGGCACTGCTCGGATTCCTGCAGACAGGCAAGAAAAAAATGGTCTCCTTAGTATCTGTTGCCACCTGGAGATCCTTTTGGGGGCGTATTCCTAAGACCCGGCCTTCTAACAGGTCAGATTTCTGTCCATCTAGGTTGGTGTTACCTACTTTGTCTTAAGAAGAACAGTGATGAAACAGACCATAGAGTGGCATTCTGGTAGTCTGAGTAGGACCTTAAAAGGACTCCACCACCAAATATTGAGAGCAACTTTGCCCTCAAGGTATTCCTCTGCCACTGAATTCAGAAGCGTATTATCTCTGATCCTGGATGTAGTCTAACAGCCATTTTCCTCGCCCTTTCAAGATGGCCCAGTCACATCTTTAAGAAATCAATTGCATGGTGTGGTGAATTTATGTGGATTTTTTTCTGTCTCATAAACCTGAAGCTCTTTGCTTGTAAAACTGTTACTGAGCTGTGGTCCTTCCACCCAGTTTTATGTGCTGTTGTAAATGAGATACTATAGACGGGATGCTTTACAACTTGGAGGGAAATGCTTTATGACTTCTAAGTGAAACATTCATAAAATAAGCTTACTGATCTTTTTCTTGAAATTTCTGTGGATAGAAGACTGAAAAATATATTCTTGGGGGAAAAAATGAATGCTCTTTCTTGGAAGTTAAATGTTTCCACCCATGTTTCTGTGCATCAAATGCTAAGATTTACCCGCGGAAGCTTTTTTAGGACATTCTAAATCTGAGCTGCATTTGGGTTGGCCAGATGGTGCTCCTTTCCATCATCCCTGCTCTGACAGGGTTTGATTACTGTATCCCAGTTCCTTTAAATCAATGTTTCTCAAGTTCAGCAACTAAGATGTGTGGATTTTGGCATCCTGGCTAGAATATTCTGGGAGCTGAAATCCACATCTTAAAGTTGCTGAGGTTGAGAAACATATTGTCCAATTCTTAACTTGTAACAGAAGATGTATCTGTGAGTTCTAATTCTGCCTTAGGGACTGTGGACTTAGAATGACATTAAGCCGGTCACTCACTCTCAGCTCTAGGAAGAAGAAATCAATGGCAAATCACTCTTGAAAAATCTTGCCAAAGAAAACAGCAAGGCAGTTGCCAGGAGTCAAAAAATGGACTTAAAGGCACAAATAATAAAAATGGAAGGGATATAAAGATGTTCATCCTAGAAGGTCCAGTCTACCCCATTATAGCAGGATAGCAATGAATGTGATGGCCTAGATCAGGGGTAGGCAACCTTGGCTCTTTTATGACTCGTGGACTTCAACTCCCAGAATTCCTGAGCCAGCCGGCTCAGGAATTCTGAGAGTTGAAGTCCACGAGTCATAAAAGAGCCAAGGTTGCCTACCCCTGGCCTAGATAGAAAGTTATATTCCAACAGGACCCTCCTACTTTTTGCCAGCTATTTTTATAGAAGATTGCATTAATGCTGATATATTATTACTAGGCATAACAAAATACCGTATTGCTTGTTCTTCATGAATTAACATAGCAAAATTAACATAGCTTGACATAGCAAATTACCATACTGTTTATTTTATTTACAAATTATGGCAGATTTGGTCATGCTTGACTATGATTGTCCAAATTGATTAAGGATACCACGCAACATATGACATTTTTGGCATGTGATCCTGCAGGACTGTTCTGAAGCAGAATAGATTATGGAATGAAATCATAAAATGAAAAATGAGATTTGCCAGATAGGTTTCAGTTTTTCAACTATGGAAGGTTTCAACCATAGAGATGACAGTTAATTTTCAGCAATCAAGTTGGTTGTACTTTTAGTTTGCATCTTAACAAGAATAGAAGTCTCACAGAAATGTTCCCAGTTTTCCACATTGTCCCATTCAGCTTTGAGGAAACATCATTCAGGGGCAAAGATATTTGGGGAGAAAATTATAATATTTTCATTATTATTATTTGTTATTAATTTTGTGTATATCCTATTCTTCCTCTTAACGGGATGGAGAGATTTGGCTGTAATCATTTCATCTTTTGTACAAACATTTTTTTTCAGTTGTTTGTTCCAGAATTTGGCATCCTCCAGATCAGGGGTGTCAAACTGCTGGCCCACGGGCCGGATGCGTCCTAGGGAAACCACGCCCACCTCATTGCTGGCAATGGAAAAAAAAGTCGCGATACGTCGCAGCATGTCTCGTGACGTGGCGAGTTTGACACCCCTGCTCCAGATCATCTGTATTGGCAGTACTGTGACACTTTGTGACTCATAATAATCTGCCTTTTTTTTCAGAGCTCTTGTATCAGAACCCCTCAAGACCAAAATCTGAAACTTTTTGTCAAAAGGGTAATTGAGTTACTTCCATGCCAATAAAATACCACTACAGGTAGTCCTCGACTTACAACAGTTCACTTAGTAGCCATTTGAAGTTACAAGGGCACTGAAAAAAGTGACTTATGACCGTCTTTCACACTTACGACCATTGCAGCATCCCCATGGTCGTGTGATTTACATTCAGATGCTTGCAAACTCCTTCACATTTATGAGAGTTGCCATGTCCGGGGGTCGTGTGACCTTTTGCGACCTTCTGACAAGCAAAGTCAACGGGGAAGCCAGATTCACTTAACAATCATGTTACTAATTTAACAACTGCAGTGATTCACTTAACAAATATGGCAAGAAAAGTCATAAAATGGGGCAAAACTCACTTAACAAATTTCTCACTTAGCAACACAAATTCAGGGCTCAAATTGTGGTCGTACGTTGAGGACTACTTGTAGTTCCTAATCCAAGAATTCCACAACCCTAAAAAAGATGATCGGCCTCATTTTTTTCTCTTGTAGTACAATGAGTTTATCTAGCCATACCTATCCACATAGTGATGGTGTAGTTATTCTTCCCTTTCCCTGCTTGCTCACAGAAACCGATTTGCCTGTGTCGTTCTCTGGAATTCCAGCTTCGATATAAATATCTGACAAAATCGTTGGAGATTTCTCTGTTTTCCTCTTGGAGATTGGCTGTTGCAATTCAAAATCTTTTATCTTTTGATGGCTCCAAAAACATTATCTCTAAAGCCTGCATATTTTTATACAGTACAGGTAGTCCTCGACTTACAATGGTTTGTTAGTGACTGTTCAAAGTTACAGTGCCACTGAAAAAGTGACTTACGACTGTTGTTCACATTTACAACCGTTGCAGCATCCCCACGATCAAATTCAGACACTTGGCAATTGACTCAGGGTCACTTGATCCCCTTTTGCAACCTTCTGACAACAAAGTCAACGGGGAAGCCAGATTCACTTAACAACCATGTTACTAACTTAACAACTTCCGTGATTCACTTAACAATTGTGGCAAGAAATGTCATAAAACAGGGCAAAATTCACTTAACAACTGTCTTGCTTAATCATAGAAATTTTGGGCGCAATTGTGGTCGTACGTCGGGGACTACCTGTAGTTGTTCAGTTGTGATAATATCTAGAAGCCAGATAAGCTGGGACATTGTTTTTATGTTAAAGAGTCTTTCTGCGTTCTGTCTTTCAATACATTTGAAATTGTCACCTCTGATTCCTTCCAGTTTTAGGGCTAATGCACTTCAGTTTGGGGCATATTCCTTGATTCAGCACATTTCCTTCTGTAGGACAAAGTGTTTTCGATATAGAAGTCAGGATATGAATTTCATGGGGGACCATATCAAAATCTGCACAATATTCCACAGCTGTTATGGCTGCAGCCGTATTGATAGAATATGCTCTTCTGTAGATACGACAGTTGCATCAGGGCTTTCCAGCTCCTTTTTATTCTCAAGCAAATCACCTATTCCAGCTCCAGTTCAAACTTACCTCCAATGCTAGATTTATTCCAAGATTCTGTCACACTACTCCACAACGGATGTGTCTTTACCAAATTGGGTGGTTCAGAGTAATGGTCTGGTTATCAGTACCAAATGGTCCCAGTTGAAGATCCCCTTAGTGTAATGGAGCTTCTGGCGGTATGGAAAGCTCTCAAAACCTTTTGGGGTCCTGACTTGGTGGTACTTAGCCACTGACAATACAGGTTGTCCTTGATTCCAACTATCGTTTATTGACTGTTCAAAGCTACAACAACACTGGAAAAAGGTGACTTAAATCAGGCCTTACAGACCATTGCATCACCCCCAGGATTATGTGATCAAAATTCAGGTGCTTGGCAACCAACACGTATTTATGACGGTTGCAGTGTCTGGGGTCATGTAATAGGCACACGTGAGCTTCCCAGCCAGCTTCCAACAAGCAAAGTCAATGGGGGAAAGCTGGTTTTGCTTAACAACCACATAATTCAAAGTGATTTGCTTAACAGCCGTAACAAAAAAAGGTCCTAAAATTGCTGCGACTTAACAGCTGTCTTGTTTAGCAACAGAAATTCTGGTTCCAATTGTGGTCGTAGGTTGAGGACTATCTGTATCATTCTTTTATCTGAAATTTCTAAGAGGATTTTTTTTGTTTTTTGGCATACTCTTAGCATTCACCCTGTATTGATATTTTAGCTTGACAAGGCACTGACCTGGAAGATTCCACATTTTTTTTGCCACTGGTCTGCCCCAAAGACTTACCAGTGTCATTGCACTGAATGTATAGCAAGTGATTTAATTATTGTGTCTACTATATCAGAGTTCCCCAACATTTCTGGCTTGGTGGGCCGGTGTGCGGGGGAGGGGATGGTTTGCGCAAGCGGCTGGCAAGCATCCTTATATGCTCACAGCTCCATTTCTGTGAGCGGCATGCATGCATGCCTGCCGCTCATGCAAATGGAGCATGCACACACACACTCACCCACTGCTTGCACAAGTGAGGATGCACGCGGGCCCTCGCCAGCCATTTCCACAGCCCCGTTGCACACCCCTCACGGCCCACAATTTGGGGGGCCCTGCACTATATAATTTTCCACTGTCAGCACCTTGTCAACATGCTGCCATGCTAGCTGGTCCCTCACGTATTGCAGCTCTCCTAGGTATCTCATGCTTTGACATGTGTGAAGCTCCTTGGACTGCATTGGCAGCTTTTATACAAGTAGTCCTCG